CAGCTTTTCTCTATGCGATAATGTGCTACTTTACAAAGAAAGAGTTGTAATCCCCAAAACTTTACAAAAACGTATACTAAAGGATTTCCACAGAGGACACCCGGGTAAAAATAGAATGAAGTCGCTATTGCGAAGCTATGTATATTGGAAGAATATGGACCAGGATATTTCTCAAATTGTGGAAATGTTCAAGGGTTGTAATTTAGCAGCTAAAGCACCGCCAATCATACATAAGCCTTGGCCTGAAACTGATCGTCCATGGTCAAGAATACACGCAGATTATGCAGGACAAATTGATGGGTTCTACTATTTAATCATAGTTGATAGCTACAGTAAATGGCCGGAGGTGTTTCGGTGCAAAAATCCCACTACAGAAACGACCATGAATTTCTTCCACGAGCTATTCGCTCGGTTTGGCGTAGTGGACTGTTTAGTAACAGATAACAGAACGCAATTCACGTCAGCAGATTTCCAAGTGTTTTGCGAAATCTATCAAGTAAAACATATAAAATCCCCGCCTTACCATCCAAGATCAAATGGACAAGCGGAGTGATCCCTGGATACTCTCAAATGAGCATTACAAAAAGCGTACGATGTGCCTGCGGAGAAAGCATTACAGCAATTCCTACGGGTATATAGGATAACGCCAAATAATGCGACACCATCAACATTATCACCAGCAGATATCATGTTTGCCAGGAAAATCAGATCAGCGTTCGATAAATTACTACCAAGTAAAACAAAACAAGTAACACAGTCCTACACATCAAAAAGAAAATTCCTCCCAGGGGAAAAAGTTTTTTTTAAAGCATACAAAAATAATACCTCTTGCTGGGAACAAGGGATAATTAAGAAAAGAATTGGCAATATGATGTACATAGTTCAAGGGAAAAAATTGTCACACAGAAGACACTTAAACCAAATAAGGAAGAGACCGTTACAGGATGCTAACGGTCCACCTCAAGAAGAGGTATTGGGCACGATTTTCGACACATTCGATATAACAAGACCGCAAATAATGCCAGAACCAAGAAAATAGTGTAGAAAAAGAAAATTTACTGAACCTTTGGAAATAGATCCTAAGAAAAAAAAAAATTTTGGAAGTGGGATGTTATGGGACCTTACCCATAATAACATAATGGACTATTCCATACGTAATAATACTGCGCCTCAAGAGGAAGGAGAGAGTTCCGTTTGAAGTCTGAGTTCAGTCTAAAGTCTGGAGTCAGGTCCGTCAGGTCCGTCAGGAGTCTGTCTGTCAGTCAGTCAGTCAGTCAGAGCGAGCGAGTCAGTCAGTCGAGTCAGAGGCAATCCGAAACAGAGTCGCGTTCAGGCAATTACTACTAAACCTGATTGTTCGTACTAACATTTTTCTACCTCTCTGTATATATTCCTGTTTGTAATATATCTGTGTTATTCCATACCTGTGTTCGAGTTCTTTATTGGTTCTACCTTGGACTATCACCGTGGTACAAGGAAGCGGACCATAACAGAAATAAATTTGGGAATAACTGAAATTAATTACGAAATCTAACGAATTACAATAAAAACAATTGCTTGTATCGAAAGTAAGGACCTACGTACATCAAACTGTCTTTTAAATTCAGTAGCGACAGAAGAATTATTCGTTGAACTGTTAAGCTTAAATATTAATGTAATACTTAAATGCAGCGATCAATTTTGAGTTCTTCTGTAGCTTATTGTTGCCTATCGCTTACGGCAGCAGTATGTCTCACAAAAAGAAATCTCAGCCAACAGAGGACCAGACTGCAATCAAAAGAGCCAAGACTGCAACAAGGAAATAACATCCCGTGCAAATGAAAACCCAGATCAAACGGCTGGCAGTAGAGCTTCCAATGCGGAGAATATGCAATGGCTCAGAGATTGTCAGACTCCCGAACAAGCCGAAGGCCCAATAAAGACCTCTAGCTTAAACGGCGCCCGATAGAGCGGCTTTTAAACTAGTATTTAAAAAAAAATGCAAATGTTTGTTTTAATTATGTATTGAGAGGACACGCTAAAGATGTAGGAATGCTAAATTTCCTAGCGTCCGAGACGCACATTAACCTATCTCATTCGGTTTCACAACTGTTTTTTGTTTAATGTTTTTATCGCCGTTGGTTTTAATTTCCCTACAATACGACAACAGCAAATTTATAATGAGAGGTAATACACAAAGATATCATGGAAAACTCAGAAATCAGTGCACTTTCTATACACGTTTACCTTAGTAAATTTCTCTTTTGAGTTGAAAAATTTAAAACATTTTGCGCTGGGAAACGGAATGAGATCGTCTAGGCTAAATGTCTAGACACGCCGGATGCCAGATGTTGCAGCATCTTCATCGTTTCTTCTCGGCACGCAATAATGCCCGACCTTTTGTATTTCCCCCTCCCCTTTACATACGCTTTCGTTTTCAATGAACATTTCTTTAATCTGATGAAGTCTTTTTAGAGGATGAAACGTCTTACAAAAATGTTTTTACGCTTTGTTAATTTTTTTTTTTTTTGACCTGGTGCACTTACGCGCCACAAGTTCCCCAAACGACGACCCGCAGGGTTTGAATTCAGAGTTTTCCTTCTCCTAGACCAGTTGCCATCCATGGATAAATGGGGACGTTTGGTCACCTCGGTATAAGGGTTAGCAAGTTTATCTCGCTGGAACTGTTGCAAATGAGTCGTGAGTTCGATCCTCACTGAGTGTCCTATACTTTCGGATACGCTTAGAAAATGAACGTAATGGGGAAGGTTTGAGAATAATAGTATAATTGCGTATAATAAAAGTATAATTGCGTATAATAGAAAGGGTTATTTTCAAACTAGCTACGTTCTATCATCACTAAACGGACCCCAAATTTTCGCCTATCTCGATGAACGGGTATTCTAAGAGGGGGGCGCCGCACCTTTAGTGTCTGTTGGGGCTTAAGTTCAACCCAGATCTCATATGCAATCATCCATACGACCCATCGCTAAAGATATTGCAAAATAATCGATTTCCTGTACCGCTTCATCAAGTACATGACTGCTATCGTCTACCTTTAAAAGAGTCAAATCACACAGAAAATGGAATGGAGATGTCATATATATTTTTTATTCAAATTTACTCCAAGTAAGGGGGTAAAACCACTAAGAAACTATTGCTTATTTGGAGTGAAAGAATTTGATAGCAGAAACAGAAAGCGAAAAAAATAATTAAAAAAAGTAATAAAGAAAACAACAGATAACTTGATTGCATGCAGCCGGAAATAAAGTTCCTCAAGTGGGAATAGCAAGAGAAGAAACTTTAGCATAAAACTTACGGTTACATCAAGGCAATTCAAGTGTAAATTAAAGAGAACTTTTTATTTCTAATTTAACACTGCTTAAATAATAATAAAAAAAAGTTTAAGTACCATAGTGAAA